GCATTAAGCCTAGAAAACCAACACACAGCTTATCTGTTGGTTTGCTTCTTGGATAATCACTAATAGTGAATACCATGGTAGGTGCAGAATGGTATCGGATCTAAGCAGTACCATTCTGCATAGCTTCAGGCTAAGTAGTTGAAAATCAGGTCTAACAGGTGTAAATGCATGACAACAGGATCAGGGTATCTCAGCCCGCTAAAATATCTCCAGTTTTGCCATGATTCTTAGTGTTTAATTGAAAGGTTCTTTCTTTTTCTTCTTTTTCTTTTTGATTTTCTTTTGGTTTTCATTTTCTTTTTCCTTCCTTCCCTCCTTCCCTTTTTCTTTTGTCTGTCTCTCATTTTTTTTATTTCTCTCTCTCAGCTGTGAATTTCAAGCCCTCCTGATGAAATACAATCCCAGGAACATTAAAGTCTCAAATTCAAACAAAAATTCCACCTCTTAAAGCTACATGTGGGGAAGGAGGGAGGAAGAGGGGAAAGGAAGGGAGAGGTTAACTCGGTTAACTCACGAATGTTTAATGTTTGAAGTTGGTAATATTGTGTCTAACTTTGAAATGCTGGTTTGAATGATGCTGTAGACATAACAAAATGAGAAGGAGTATTCTGGAAGCAGAGTAGGTTTTAAAAAAATACGATGTTTTGTAGCCTGCAGACAAAATGACTGGGAAAGACCCCAAGTTAATGTACTAAAACTGGTTTAGCAAACACCGCAGTTCTCATTTTCAGCGATGAATGCCATTACTACAGATCTATTCAGTATGATGATCAAAAATCACACCAGTTGCAGAGATTTTGTTAGCCTCAACAGTAAAACAAACTGAAAAGACACAGCACACTTGAGGTCTCCAGCATCCTTACTGCAAACTGACAGATACATAGGTTATGTCTAGTCAGCATCATGCCGAGCAATGCAGAGACAACTGACAGTTCACAATGACCCAAAGAGTGGGAGCCCTGCTAGTCTGCCCTGGGTGGTTTGCCCAGCACCGCTGACTGAGTGGCATTGCAGTGAGGTGTACAAACATGCTCTGCTTTGGGGGGATTTTATTTGCTTGTTGTTTGTTTGTTTCTGCATCAGCAATCAAAGCTCTCCTGTCTTCAGAGGCGTATGCAGACGCCATCCCACGTGAGTTTATCTATCATCTGCTCTGTCACCTTTTACTGCTGATTTGCAGGACTGCTGTTTAGCTGTGTTTTGCAAGGCAGAGAGTCCTAAAGCTCTTTGCCACAGGCAGTGTGTTGGCTTGCAACCTTAGCTTTGAAGAGGGGACAGTGAACGTGGCTCACCTGACGAAATGCACCCCATGGGAGGGAAAGGCATCCTCATCTCCATGGGGCTCGTGTCTTGGCAGGGAGTGCTCCTTGCAGCTCCCTCTTTTGAGTGTTTCACTCAAAACATAGCATTCAATTCCAGCTTTGATGGCTATAATCACATTCTGATGATCTTATTTGGGGGTATTTCTGCCTTAAAAATCCCTCCTGAATTGGTAGCATGTTGTTCCTCTGTAGCACAGTCGTGGAAGGAGCTGAGCAAGCAAGGGGGCTTGACCTGAGATGACCTGGCTGTGAGACGTTCAGCAGACCCACACACTTTTCCATTGCAGCATTCCTAAGCATGGATGTGAGCTCTGGAGCTGGAGGCCAGGGTCAGACGCTTACTTTTTGGGTTGAGTCGTGGGCAGCATGAGCTCCCTGCTCAAATCACAGCAGTCCTGTGCTGGAGAGGTAAGTAGCTTATCTCTGTTATTCTCAGCTGTGAAATGCTTAATAATTAGGAGTAAACAGGCACAGAGTGACAGTAAACAGGCACAGGGTAAGTAATAATTAGGACTAAACAGGCACAGAGGCCTGGGAATTAAATGACCGCTAATGTGAACAGTCTCACTAGTCTAAAATATTTTATATCATGAGTCCATCCCCCCTCCTTGAGCTACAAATCAGCTTACAAATCATTTGTGAATAATATAATAAATGGGATGTTTGTTTTTCTTGCTCTCTTGTTTCAGAGTTTCCAGGTACTTCACAGACTCAAATTTTCTTTTCAGTCACAAAGATAGAGACTCTAAAAACTCATTTCAGTCTCTTAGCTCAGGCAATTCAGGAATATGTAAAGGAAACTTGAGATGTTATAAGATCCATCATCAAGTTGTAATAATCGGCAAAACTGATTTAAGCCTGGTTACTAGAAACTAGTATTAGGTATCAAAGATGAGACAGATTTTTAAGCTATATTTAACGTGCATTTTAGATCCAATATATGATGAAAAATTCACTTAGAGAAGTAAGAACTAGCACTTCTTGCTAGCAAAATGTCTTTGATTTCAAAAAAACACACAAAATACAAAGCATTATGGGAATACACTCCCAAGTCCAGCAATTTCCACGATGCATTGGCGCTGGTTCCTGAAGGCCATTCCCTCTTCACAATTTAAGAGCCAATGGAGCAGCAAGAAAGGTGGAACTATCAGTGAAGAGTAGATAAAAATGTCTTTTCTGTTATGCTACAATTTAATCTCATTCATGCTAATTCCCTATAATACAGTGGTAGAAACCATAGGTGAGAAACCATAGATGAGGCCTGAGTTTCTTTTTCAAATTCTTGTGCAAACAAACCCAAGAGGTATCTCATATACACTTATATAAAGCAGATAACAGGAGTAGTCTATAAATAGCAACTCTGGTTTTAAATTGTGGACAAAGAACATACTTTTTGTATAAAGGTCATAGTAGGCTTAGGCTTCTTTCATTAAGATAGACAGATAAAAATCTAAAGACAGACCGACAGACAGACAAACCTTTTAAAGATTATTCAAAAAAAATGCTTTCTCATGATTATATCCTGCCTTTAAAAAAAATCTTTAACCTCTGACTAATTATTTTCGTATTGCATTCATCTTTGAGGATGAAAAATTTCAGCAAGTAAACATGGCCCAACATTTCCAAATCACAGAATTAATTCTACTTTGAGCTTGCAAACCAAGAATTCAAGCATTTGCTTTCAAAATGTTAAAGTCCTCTGGGGTAATTAAGAGCCAGTATGCAACTAGAGTGAAAACATATTGCTTTAGTCCTAAATCTTGTTTGATCCAAAACAAGATTACCCTTTTTTTTTTAGCCCTCTAATGGTGTTAGTACTGATGCCTAAAAAATGGCTAAGCAGTTTATTGTGGTAAAACAATTTGCTTTTAATCAAGTTCAATTTACTAATATGGTGAGGTACGTGTTAAGTGAACTCTGAAGTAAAACCACTGAAAAAATTAAAAAACTTATTGTGAGTTAAAATATTATGTTATATTCATGCCCATTCATCCAGTGTAAGCTAACATTGATGGAATCATTTATGGCAGTCGTGTAATGGAAGAAGAGACCTTAAAGCTCAGCAAGCCAAATTTTTCTTGAGCTACCCTGACATTAATTCCAACTATAAGTACTTTTCCCCCTTTGACTTAAATTATTCCAGATACCTAAACAATCTATGTAAGAGAGAGAGCACCCTCTGCCATGGCCACTAAACATTATTATATTTGCAACTGTCTTTTCACAGATCTGTTTTGACATATAGCTAGCTATTGACGCAACTGAGGGGGTAATAATATCTCCTAGAGAAGAAAAGAAAGCAAAAGTAAGAACACTGAAAGTTCAGAGACTGCACATACTGCTGACAGAGGGTCACAGTGCCTCGGTGGCCTATTGCACTTCATGCAGAACAAAGTGCCACTCAAATTGTTAATTTAGTGCAGTTCACCTGTGTGGACTCCTTTGTTTCAGAAATGCATATGACGGTAATAGTTAAAATCTATCAGGAATCAATGCAAACTGAAACATTCACATACTTAACTATGTATGTTTCTAAACTCGTTTGAATGTCGGAAACATTTTGATGTTTGAATATTGAAAGAGTTCAACTTTCTTGTATAATGAGCACTTAATCAATACGCACTAATAATCAGACTTGCTATAGGTCAGGGGAGCTTTCCAGAAGCATGAAGCATTTAAAATCAAAGAGCAGCGGTGAAAGATTTCTTCCTAATGGGGACAGAGGTTTTGGGATGTCTCACAGGGGACCACTTGCAAAAATGGCAGAGAGAGCAGGAAGAGAATCCCCAAACCACCCAAGAGAAGCCCACATCAGGATCTGACATATACTTGTTATGCCAGGGGTAATCCCTATTGCCCAGGACATTTGAACTGTGTAGCCATAGCATTTTTTAGACATTTTTTTCTTAGAGGTAGTTCCCACATCTCATCTAGCCACAATATCATGTTCAACTGGTACACTTTCCCCTTGTAAATAATACCTGAGCTTATGATAAGACAAAGAGGACTAAAAACAAACAAAAACGCAAGCCACATTCCCTCAAAAAACAACACCCCAAAACCAGAAAGGAGACAGAGTGTGTGTGTGAGTTTGACATAGTCAGTTAATTCTACCTGTGCTGGGCTTTTCCTTTTTTTTTTTTTTCTTTTTTATTCTCTCTTTTTTTTTTTTTCCCAAAACTAATGAGGCTCCCCATGTGTTTGGTTCTCATGTCCTCAGTCCTCATGTGTCCAGAGCAGCGGTCACCAGTGGCCAGGGCTGCCCCTAGACGTACTCACAGGACCCTTGCTGGGAGCTAATGAGAGCTCTGCTCGCAGAGCGGAGCAGCACTGAGACGTGGCTGACAGCTTATTAAAAAGATTTGCTGTAACACTTTAGTTTCTTCTCATTATGCCACGGCGTCATTCCTCAGGAGCCTCTGTGCTGCGTGCCGTGCACTTTAGCCGTCCAGCGTACAAGCGAGTTGTTGTTATTGTTGTTCTCGCCCAGCAAACTCTCAGAGGGTGAGAGCCTACGTTTTGACATGAAAAACGTCCTTCAATTATGCTTGGCACCAGGACAAAGCACTTCAGCCTGGCATAAAGCCGCATCCGAAATAGCCTCCCTAGAGGCCCTGCAGAAAGCTCTGCCCGCTGCCCTGACCCTGCTGGTGCCCAGCACGTGCGTGTTGTCCATACCTGTGTCCTCGCCACCCCAGAGGCTTCCAGGATCCGGCTGAGCCAGCAAGTCACCTTTGTTACAGGGTTCCTTCGTCTGAAAAACAGAAGCAGCACATCAAGTTATGAGAGCTTCTCATTGAACGTTGTGTTTTATGATGTTTCCAACCAAAATTATTTTCGGTCCAAAGAAACTGTGTCAGGTAGCAGTGCAAGGCCCCTTTTCAGCTGCCTCTGTGATCGGAATGAACTTATGAGTTCCCAGGTACAACCATCTTGCAGAAAATTAAAAGAGTCTGTGCTTAACTGTGCTTTGACTTGCATTTTCCATTCAAAATCTGCACACTGATTTTGTGTCCATGGACCAGATTGTTAGCCAACTCTCCTGCCTAGGCCCTACYTGGGTTGAAAAGGGACAGGGAATGGTGGGCAGAGTCCTGGTGGGGTCATCTTCTGGCGTGGGGCCCTTGGCTGAAGGCACTTTTGCAAGACACTTTGCAAACTGTCACCAAGGAGAATACAAAAGAATGCATGCAAGAGAATGTCAGCAAGGAGAATGCATTAGGGATGCAAAAGCAGGGGGCTTTTGCCCTATGGGGGCAATGGATGAGATGGATGGTGCCCAGGTGTCACTCCATCGCATATCCTTGGCCACTGTGGTTAGAGGAGGTACAGACCTTTATTCCTCTTCACCACTTCATCCTCATTCCTATCTAACCACTCACCCTCTTGACTTCTCTCACTTACACAAGTGGTTTGGATCAGAACTGTGCAAGAATGTGGGACAAGAGTGAGCGTGACTGTCCTCTGGCAGCGCCTTTAGGAGGGTTCCAGCCGCTGAGCTCAGCGGCACTGCTCCTGAGAGCAAGGTCAGGCAGCAGCACTACGTGTTTGCAAACCCTGTCTGACCCAAAGCACTTCACAGGCTGTACATCCCACTGAAACACCACATCCAAAATTAGGATGGGAGGCTGAAAAGGAACAATGAATCATTGGCTATGGATGCATTAGAATCAGAACATATAATTTGGGTGAGAAGTTTTGGTGGATATTTGGATGGGTACTTGGATATTTGATGGATATTTATCTTGCTAACAGCAGAGCTTAATGATTCTTCATGCAAACACATTGCTCTCTAAGTCTGCAGTTGGGAAAGACTAACAAGCTTCATAGTATGAATCCGGGGCTCCAGTGAGTCACTTGGGTAGATCCTTCAACCTTGTTGATCTTCATCAGTAAGCCACATGTTTTCAGTTTAAGAATTGCTTTCATTTAAAAGATTCTCAGCTCAATTGACAGCTTCACCCACCCTTACAAATACCACAATGGTGAGAAGCTGTTTGGAAGCTTTCCAAGTTTCAAAACATTGAAAACATGGTTTACTTTTCTGATGAGATATTTTTGACTATTTGTATTCAGGACATTAAGCACCTGATAAAAGCACAAAAGAAATAAGCATTCAAGACAGCAGCTCCTTTAGATACTGTAAAACTCTGTGATTAAAGTTAATAATCAGAGTGACTGTCAGAAAGAAGCAGCATAGGAACAGAAAGCAACTGTGGAATATGCAGAACTGTAACTATACCCAAAAGAATGCAAGCTCAGGAAAAAGAAAAAGTACTCTCTATGCATGGGTCTGTACCTACAGAATAATATATTAACATGTATACACAAACATATATGGAAGAGACACCATGTCAATGTCAAAAACATAGTGTGAATAATATACATACAGCAATAAAAAGCCAAGTTCTGAGCACTACAAAATCAAATGCAGCGTGGCATTTGATATACACAGTTCAGTATGAAGGGAAACTTTTTTGATTCCCTTACCRTGAAGTAAGAAGCACCACATTCAGAGTTCTGGAAAGGTGGAGTTCTGTAGAGATAATTCCTTACAGATTATGATGCAAATATCAGCAATATCTTGTCCATTTTAGGGGCYACAGAACTACGTAAATGGCCACACAGAAGAAATGGACAGCAACTAGTGGCAGAGATAGAGCACTGGTAGCAAGTCCAAGGGAAATCAATTTTATGCTCATCAGGTAGTCGAGAAGAGCCTACAGGAGACAATTGTTAATAAAAGCAATGAGTCCCAGTAGACTCACCTGCACAGCCTTCCCTGGCTTTACCTCCTATCTAGACTTTACAAGGCTACCCACCTCACAGACCTGGCGGGTCCATGATAATATTTCTAACAAATGTATGCATTCTAATAATTTTGCTTTGTTTTGCTTCTCTCTCCATTTTTTTTTCCTCTTTTAAATGCTTCACAATTACTTGTGTGTGCAGTAGCACTTTACTCACATCTTCTTATGTCCACACTACTGTTTTCATTATACTGGAGACAGAGAGCCATCCTGAAGGAGACTCCGCTTGCTACTATCAGTGAGATGTTTCTTTTGTATGCTTTCCTGGATTATTTTGACATACTAACAATTCAATTGAATTATGATTTGATTGTGTGTGGGAATTCCACATCGAATATGTGTTGCTCTCTCTAATGTCTTAGCATATAAGAAAAACTACAAAATTACCATGTCCACAATAAAAATTGGTTTGTACGTGCTCATTTTTTTGTCATTTTTTTTCTTTTCTCCTTTGAAAATATTTGCACAGGAGACATTTTCCTTGCTTGTGACTAGGTGAAAATATTTATCACAGTACTTTTAAAATACTGAGTTAACTCTGTTTCAAAGCTGACATTGCTCAAGCCTAAAGTTCAAGGAGGGGAAAAGAGACAAATAGTTTCAAGCTAGTGGTCAAGTCTCTGTACTGCCTGAGTACRTTTACACCACAGCAGATAAGACCTTAACAGGTCAAATATTTTAAAACAATGTCCATATAATAGTRACTCCGTGTAGGAAACAACACATTCTTTGATCACATGAGGCACAACTTCTCCATTCCCTGAGTTTCTTGTACTCAGATAATGTGACCCTGAAGAGCCATTCCCAGTGATTCGGTGGGACAGGTCCCACTAAGCATTACCACTGGAGCCAGCTGTGCAAAACAGGTTATTTGAGAAAGAAAAAACACGTAGGAGGACCAATGCCTGGATATATGTTTTGTGGCTGCTGTACTCTCAGTGTCATTTTAAGAAGAGGAAATTGAGCTCAGAAGTCCATATGCCTGTATAAGGAACACTTGACTTGAAATACTGACTTTTGCTATATTTCAGTGCTGTATAAGTTTTGTGCACATATGACATTGATTACATGTTTTTGCTTTGGAGTGCTTACACTTTTTTTTTGTTTGTTTGTTTATTTGTTTAAAAAAACAAAGAGCAGCAATCTTTATGACTTATAAAAAAGCCCAAAAAACTATATCACCTCCTTCTGTACTCTTCTCTTTGACTTAAGCACAGTATTCTTTAGCACCTGTCAGTATATCCTAAACATTGAGGTTGCCCTGAAAGGTGAGAAAAGAAACAAGGTAGGCACACTGATCATCTGTTCTTGCAAAGGCAGGTGTAGGATGGGAAATGGTGAAGGCTGTTAAGATTCAAATATTTTACAAGATTATTTGAAAAAAAAAAAAAAAAAAAACTTCCTCATGGTAAACAGCTTGTTGAGGACATAGAAGCATTTCCCTCCCATCATTGTGGAAACTGTGGAGGAACTGGAGCTTTCTGGAGTTGTTCCCTTCATTCCTATAATGTGGATTCATCTTCCTCCAAAGAGATTTCACCATGAACCACTGCTTGCAATGGGACAATCAAAAAGCAGGAGAGAAGATAGCATAAGGAGTCCTGCTTAATTCTGTGAATAACAATATTAATAAAACAGATATAAAAATAAAGAAAAAAAAACTCCTCATCCTATCTAGAAAACACCTAAGACTCTAATTTTATGCATGTGCTTTTACTTCTCCTATGTGTGAAGTACAGACAGTTCTCACCTGCTTTGCAGAACTGAGTCAAGAAAAATGCTATCTGCCTCAGTGTGATCTCAATGATCTCAATGGCATTTTAAACCCTGAAGCCTAATTTACACATCAACATTGTTAATTATTTCATTGTTGAACAGCTTAACAGAAAGAGCTCATTAATGACTGCATATTCTGTTCCCTTGAAAGGACATCAATAACAACAGTGGAAGCAGAATACATTATCTAGACTAAATACCACAGTCACTTTGTATTAAATAGAAAAAATGTTGCTCACAGATACCAAATGATACTTGTTCATTAAAGTTATCTGTCTTCGCTGCTGCTTTGTAGAAGGACTATCCTGTTCAACAAGACACAACCTTAGATCCAACATATTTTTGCTAATGAGATAGCAATAAAATCCTTGTTTTTCCTTTGAGGCTCTCAAGTACATAAATAAGCCACATAATCCTTTATGACACCTACAGTATTCAAACATATGGCTTAATTCCTGGAGAACATCCTTCAAATGAAGAGAATGTGAGGATTTGATAAGGCTGAACAGACTCTAGTTATGTGTATTGCGCTTGTGAAATAATGGTCAAGAGTGAAAAGGCTCATAACTTTGGTGACTCTAAAAAGTCTATAATTAATCTTTAAAGATAACAGGACATTAAAATAAATGATAGACATATACATTGTTCTTATGTGTGACTGCTTTTGCATTACTAAAGGCTGGGTGTTATCCAGGCAAGACACAGCTGTCTTTGAAGAAAAGTGCACTGACTTCTTGCTGAGCAGTACCTGTAGGTACTGACACTAAGGCCAAAAAATCACCACCATGCCTTGTGGTTGGGAGTCACTTCCACCATATCTTGTGACCTCAACCATCATTTCTGGTGACCTCAGTCAGCTGCAGCTTCTGAAATGAGGGTAGACTGATGACAGTGTTCAAAGCAGGTTGCCTAGGTCACCATCACTATGAAATCTGAAGYTTACTAGACCAGAATGTGGTTATCTTAATTTCTTCCAGCTGGCTGGAAGAGCTGCATGAGTGCTCCCAGGTTGGCTTGTGAAATAATTTTTGTATGTTTGCATAAGTGGAGCACTAAAAATAGCAGGGAATCCAAGCTCTGCCTATACGTGTAAGAGGTACTGGCACAGACTTCCATAAAATAATCATAACTTGCCGTGGGATTGTTTATGCTGAGATCAAAACAACAT